AAATGCTTGCTTTGCATTTGACCCACAGAACTCCAGGAAAAGCTGAAGTAGAGATATACTTGTAATCCCAGCACTGGGAAGTCTGAGGCAGGAGGGCCACTAAGAGCATCAAGTTATTGGCCTGGTTCTCGGCTCCCAGCCAAACCTCCACTACACGTGTCATCACACAATAACCTTAAGGGACAGCTTGGTTATTAGCCATTTACACAGGTGCTGAAAATTTAACCATCAGGATTTGGGAATGTTGGCTGGAAGAGGGGAGAACAAGGGGGGATGAGAGGGACATGAGAACATGGTGCCCTTTGGAGGAAGAAGGAGAACCCTGTGAGGATGGTATAGGGATAGTGTTGTGGAACACTGGGGACCCAGAGCTGGGGAATAGTCAGTTTGGGGAGAGGAGATATGGATCCAGAATGGAAAGGAATATTAGAAAGTATTGTATGGGTGTGGTGACTGTCTCAATCCATTTTATGTGCTACTGTAACAGAATACCTAGGTTGGGTAACTTATAACAAAGACATTTTCCTTGTCCTTTATTTTATTCTATTTTGTATTTATTTAGATGTGTATGTGCAGATATGGATGCATGCCCATATATTCTGACTGTGCATATATGTACGTGTGTGTGGAAGCCAGAGGCTGACCTCAGGTATCCTTCCAGGAGGCATCCATCTTGGTTTTTTAGACAAAGTCTCTTACTGAGCCCTAGGGCTTGCTGCGTTGAATAGGGTGGCTGGCTGTGAGCCACAAGGATCTTCCTAGCTATGTCTCCCCAGCTCTGAGATTACAAACACACACCACCGCAACCCACTGCTTTGTTTGGAGACAGCATCTCACTGTGTAGCCAAGGCTGATCTGGAGTGTGTTACATAGAACAGGCTGGCATTGAACTCAAGGTTTGCCTACTTCTGCCACCAAGTGCTATGACTAAAGGTGTGTGCCACCATGCCCAGCCCACACCCAGTTTTGTTTGTTTTGTATCGTTTTACGTTGACCCTGGTGATCAATTTGGGACTGACTGGGCCGTCTTCCCAATCCTAGACAAGAATTACATTTGGTGCTTGAATCTAGAGGCTGAGAAGTCTAAGGCTGAGGTTACCATGGGTCTTCATCATCGCCATGTGACATGGTAGAAATCATCGCATTGGCAAAAGAGGAAAAGCTACGCAATTCAAAATTCTCAGGCCCTTGTATCATCGGTGTTGACAGAAGAAGGGTAGAGTTCTCCCACTGGCCATGCTTCCCATCATGGTGCTACACTGGGAATTGAGTTTCCAGCAAATACCTACGGGTATATGTTTGAGCCACAGCTTAATGATGCCAAGCTCAGCAGAGTTCTATAGAGCCCACTCACTGGCATTTGCCCTGCACCAGAGGACAGTCACTCCCCAGTTCTGTAGTCTGCATACCAGGTTGTTCATAATAAAATGTGCCTGGAAGTTCTTTGAAAGGGGCTCAACATCCAGTACGCCAAGATGAGAGGATGTTTCTGACCTAATCATATCTCCAATGGAAGAGAAGGATCCCAGGAGAAAGGGTGGGGCTCAAAGACCCATGTTCACTGGCAAGCAGGGCAACTGCCATGGTTAAGCACTGAGTGTCTTCCAAAGGTTCGTATGTGGAGTCTGGATCCACAGGGAAGTGTTATAGACCTTTAAGATATATGGTTTGATAGGAACTCCCAATGCCATTGTGGGTGTGCCCTCAAAGGAGGTTATTTTATCTCTCCCTCTCTCTTCATCCCTCCCCTCCTTACCCCACTCTGTGTTATGCCCCCATTGCCAAACCCATAAGGCAACCTGATCTTGGACCTGAACTTGCAGAACCATGAGTTCAAACAAATCTATCTTTATTTCACAAGTATTCCACCCTGGGTTTTTTTGTTATAGTGATGTGAGGCTGACAGATAGACCAAGACAAATATCCTTCTGTTCTTTAGCTCAAGAGGCTCAGAAATCAATGCTGATTTCATTGCAGTCCAAACTGGCTTCTGGCCAGAACACATGGAAAAGAGGAGCGACAAGATTAAAGCTCTCCTCATTCCCAACCCTTCGACTGGCTTTTTCCCTTCACTCGAGCCTGGAAGCCTGGGGCAAGCCTCTACCAGTAAGTGCTTTCTGGTTATGACTTGCTCATTCTGTGATTCATGCTTCACTAGTCCCTGGGAATGTGTCCACTAGACCCTCTCATCTCCCATGAGCTACATGGCTAAGGAGCCTGCTCTGTCTGGCCTTTCTAGACCAGAAGGATTCTTAATGTGGTAGGTGAGCAAAATACTTTCTTTTCTTTTCATTTTTTTCTTTTTTCTGACAGCATCTTGCCAAGCAGCCCTGGCTAGCCTAGAACTCATTGTGTAGCCCAGGCTGCCCTTGAACTCACCGAGGTCCACCTACCTCTGCTTCAACAGTGCCGGATTAAAGGTATGTGCCATCATGCCTAGCAAGTCTGACCATTCTTAAAACCTCTTGCAAACACAGATTCAAAGGAGGAGAAAGGAGCATGACCCACTCTGTGCCAGAGCTTCTAGAAGAATTCCTTGAAAGCCTGAAGACACCCTTCTCATGAGCTAAATCTAAGTAATGACCACTGATTCTGTCAAAAAAAAATCGTCAATTGTGCTTTCTGAAACCACCACCATTACACACACACACATGCACACTCTCATGAAACATGAAAAATTCATATATCACAAGCACCAAGCTGGGTATGTTCCTAGTTATAAATGATAAGATCCCACAGGAATGCCCCTTTTGTGATAAAGGCCTAGCCAGAACCAACTTCTAGAACTAATGAGCAGGAAGCTAAGGCAGGGATGGCTTTGTAGGAGCTAGAACTAAAGATTTAGCCTGGTGCTTTTGTCTTCAAATTGTCCCCTCTATGTTCCCTAGACTTGCAATTTATAGTTTCTGTTAAATTTAGGGTGTGTTCCAACAAATCACTCCTGATCATCCTGCCTTTCAGACTCCAGTGTTAATATGCTGCCGCTGTTATGCAGGTCACTCCATCTGTTATTTCTATGTGTTCTCTTGTGGATTCTCCAGGCATGGATCTGTTCCCTTTAATCTGTTGGAATGACCCATACACCATGTCTGACTTAAGAGTGCTCACTCAACCTTCATGCTATGTAGTCTTGACTTTCGCCAACTATTCCCACATTTTATACTTACCCCATCTTCAGTACAAAGTACAATACTGAAACATTCAGGTTAGGAATGTAGCTCAGTGATAGGACACTTGTTTAGCACATACTAGTCCCTGGGTTCAGGCCCCGGCACACAAAATAAAAGAAAAGATAAGATAAATACATAGACAATAGGTACATAGACAGACAGACAGGTAGATAGATGGAGCTGACGGTCATGGTGACTCACATCTCTAATCCCAGCACCCAAGAGGCATTGGGATTGTCATGATTTCAGGTCCATTCTCAACTACGGAGTGAAATTATTTCTCAAAAAAAAAAAAAAAAAAAAAAAGAAAAAGAAAAAGAAAGAGAGAAGGAAGAAAGGAAAAGGAAAGAAATAAAGAAGAAACTTTTTTTTTACTTGGAATTAAACAAGCTTTTTGAATTTAGATTTTGGTTGCCTCTTAGTGAAATATAAATTTAAAAGTCAGAGGAGGGATGTATGTATGTAAATTAAGTGGCTTTTTTTTTTTTTTTTTTTTTTTTTTTTTTGCTAGACGTGGTCCTAGGAAAGTCAAAAGCCAGAACGCTCTGCTGTGTCAGGAAACAGGAGAGTGGTACCCCAATCATTGCCCCAGTGTTGCTCTCCAAGGCTTTCTGGGTAGCAAACAACCTGAATGCTGGGCAAGCCCCACAGAGAGCATGTGCAAACTGCCCCCAACTTCTCCAGTGGCTGTCTGGAAGGAAGCACCTTTAGGATTAACCTTCCTCCTGCCCTAGAAGGGAAGGCACATGGGGATTCAATACAGTCATTCATAGATAGGTGCCTTGTCTTCACCATTGGCATGGGAGAGAAGCAGCAATCAAGCATTAAGGCACTGTTGAGACATTAAATCTGTGAAAAAAATACATGAGCATAAATGTCACCCTGAAACGGAGGAAAATGTGTGTGAAAAGACCACTGGACTTGAAATGTACACTGCTGGGATTTACTGGACCATGTCAAACATTTTCTATGACCACGGATAACAAAGCTAGACTTCTTTGTCTCCACATTAACATAATCAGGGATTCTTGTCTTCAAATGCAAGCCTTTCCCTCCCACCCTCTTTTTTTCCTCTTTCCCTTTTGGCTGTTTGAATATAATCCACGGAGTCTCTCCCCATTCCCAAAGTGCCTCCCAAACAGCGCCGGGGAAGCTCTCTGGGAAGCCCTTGCCCAGGACACTTAGCAGAACTTTGTTCTCCACATGGGCTGTCTAGCTTTTCTCGGTGACATCACGGCCTCCCCAACTCTTCACTGGCTGTGAACCGTGTTCAGGCGCCCATAACAGGCTCAGGGCGCTGGCCGTGGTCCTGACCTCAGAGCTCAGGATCCTTGTGCAGAGCGCTCCCAAGGAGGAGACCTAACCACTAGGAAGACCCATGTGAGCCCCTTCCCCCGCTCGACCCCAGGGAAGTCTTCTGGCCTTCACTGCAGCCCTCCACTGCGCTCTTTGAGCTGCATCAAAAAAGGGTGGGGCACTGAGCCACAGCTGCAATCGGATGCTACCCGGGAGGATTTAAGAACAGCACAGTGGTCCACCCCAATCGCCCCTCGTCGCCTCTAGCCCAGGGATCAGCTGGTCCCTGACGCGGGTTCCCCACCTCCCAGGCACAGGGAGGCGAGGGCAGCCTTTGTGGGGGCTGAGACGCCCACCGTCGAACCCTTGCCTCACCGCACCCTGCGCGGTGAAGGGGCGGGCAGGGCGCGGTGCGCGTGCAGATGCGGGAGGAAAAGCTCCAAGCGCCGCGTGCCCGCCGCCACGCGGAGATGCTTGGTCCTCCGCGAGATGCCAGGGTTCAGCCCGGCTTTCTACCCCCCCCCCCATACCAACCTGATCGTAGATGTTCTGCAGGGCTTCCTTGCCCGAGGCCCGCCGGATCTCCACCTTCCGGCCCGATTCAACAGATGGCTCCCCGCTGCCACGCCGGCTCTGCCGGTGCGGGTCCGGGCCCAAGTGGGCGACATCCCGCTGCTGAGCCACCACCTGCCCCGAGCCCCGGCCCACAGAAAGCGAATCGAAATCGATGGTCTTGTTCTCCGAGGACCCTTCCACCGGGCAGAACATGCCGCAGAATTTCTGCCGGGGCTTGGGACTACCCGAGCCCAGGTTTTTAAAAAAGGCAGGGACCTCTTCATCCTCTGCCGCCTTCCCAGATTGCTTTCTCTCGGTCATGGCTCGGGGGGCGCTGGGGAGGGTCCTCTCCGTCCGTCCGTCCGTCCGTCCGTGGTTCCCTAAGTCTCCCTAGCTGGGTGTGCACTAGCCCCTCGCTGCCGCCGCGGCTGCTGCTCCCTGCCTACCGCAAGGTGCACAGAAAGGATGGAGGGCTGGCGAGCCGGCGACCCACCCCTCGCGGTCCCTCCTCCTGACCCTGCTTTCTCCCTCCCTGCCCACGCCCCCTGGCGCCGCCGCGCCACCTCCGAGCGAGCGGCAAAGTTGGATCTGGGCAGGCGGTCCCTGCCGCAGAGGATGCCAGTTCCCGGCAGCGCGGGGCGGGGCGGGGCGGGCTGAACGCGCGATCAGAAGGGAGGAGAGATGGAGGGAGGGGACACAGAGGGAGGGGACCGAGAAGGGAGGGTACAAGGGGGTGGGGGGCACCCGGAGCTCGCGCTCCGGAAGTGAAGCGGCCACTCCACCGGTTAATGGATGCACAGCGGCCGCCCAGCAGACCACTCTCGGCGCCAGGGTGAGTGTCAGACAGCTACAGCTGGGCGAGGACCGGGGGGTGCAGATCCTGACCCTGAGTTTCTCTTCTCCACCTGCCTCGCTTCATTGTTAAGGTGGCTCTGGAGCTCCTCTGTTCCCGAGTGAGGGCTGAGGATTGGGGGAGCCAAGGGTCAAGCCTGCAGGCTCTGGGATGCTATGACGTTGGGGAGGGGTGATCCTGGAAACAGCAAGGGCTGGTCTCAGACACCCAAGAACCCGACACCAACGCTTCAGTTTACCCACCACCTTGGCGGCGTGGGGGTGGTCGTAGGAGGACTTCAAGGAGCAAGAAAAAGGAAAATATTCTCTTTGCTTGCAGCTGCTGTGGTTGGGAGGTGGGGCTCACAATATGGCGGGGACGAAAAGAGCCGAGGGGCGTAGCGAAAGGGAGGAATGACCAGATGCAAGCCTCTGGTGAATGGGCATAGAGAAGAATGCAGGCTGCGAATCGCAGCACTGCGCTTCAGCTTAGAGAGTGAAGACTCTCAATGTTACCTGAAAGTCCCATACCCAGCAGGTAGGCTACCAACCTAGGAAAGGCACAGTGAGATTTGGTGTCTCCCATCACCACCACCACCACCACCACCACCACCACCACCACCACCACACACACACACACACACACACACACCTGGTCACCACTGCCCCTACCCAAAATGGTTGGGGACTAAGCAGACTGAAGCCCACTCCATATACATCTTGTTTTCAAGGCGCCCCGCCTAGCTCCACCCCCATCCCCGCCCCTGATGCATTCAGCGCCAGTGCCTGGCGGTTGCCAGATGCCTCTTCTCTAGGGCAGCGCTTTGCGTAAAGGTTAGAGGTGGATTGCGGCTTTGGGAAGGATTACATGCTGTGAATTATAAGCAGCTAAAGTGTGTGGGATTTGAGGGTGTGTGTTTGTGCTCGCGGCCGCTAGGTTCAAGGCTTTTCCAGCCCGCACTCTAATCTTGGGCCCTTCCTTGCTTATTCCCACCCCCCTTGGTCCTGATTCTGGTAGATTTAAACTCCTCCTGTTTTCCAGAGTAGCTGGAACCTGCAGAAGTGTTGCCCATCCTTCAGGGGCCCTGGAGGATGATCTGAGCATGCTCACCAAGGAAAATGGGTTTGGTCTATGACAGTTTACTGCAGCGTGTTCTCACAGGGCGGTGTGACCAAGAAATCAGTTCCATTGTCAGCCTTTGCTTAGGGAAGTACTGTATGCCGATACCAACGTCCCTAGTTGCCCAAGATAGCTTGATGGATGGAGTCACAGTTCACACACACACACACACACACACACACACACACACACACACTCCATCCTGAACTTAATGTAGAAGCTGAGAGGACCACACATGTGAGTAGGGCCTTTGGACATCGGCACCAGATATGCTTGGCATTTAAACAAAAGCTCTGACTGTAATTGCCAATGCTTCACCAAAGCCCTGTGAGATGGGGGCTTTCATTGTTCTCCCCTCTCAAGTTAGGACTTCGGTTTAAGAGGGTCGGTAATTCAAGTGGGGTATTTTATCTCAAAGGATGGTTCTTTTAACAGGTTATCCTGTGGGCTCCCTTTATGTGAGAAAAATAGAAAACCCCTGTGTTCTCCCACACCCAAACATTTCCTTCATGGCCCTGTAGTACATCACTTGTTTCACTTGGAATCTTAAAATTGGGGGGGGGGTAATTTTCATTTTGTGTGTGTGTGTGTGTGTATGTACATGTATTAGTGCATGCCTGGTTGGGGGGGGGGGGTTGTAGGCCAGAGGAAAGTGTCAGATCCCCTGGAACTAAAGTTACAGATGGTGGTGAGCCACAATATGGGTGCTAGAAACTAAACCTGTGCTTTTAACCATTGAGCAATCTTTCCAGACACTTGGTTTTTTTTTTTTGTTTGTTTGTTTGTTTGTTGGCTTGTTTGTTTTGTTTTGTTTTAAGGCCATCCCTTATAGGTAGGATCCACATACAGGTGAAAAGCCTCAAAAGCTAGCCAATTTTAGCACAACACTCTTTCTGTGGACCTGGGCCAGGGCATTCAGTGCCTTTTGTTTGTTTGGTTTTGATATTTTTGAGACAAGGTCCTGTATGTAACCCCAAGTTGACCGCAAACTCCCTATGTAGCCAAGGATGCTCTTGAGCTTCTGATCCTCCTGTCTTCTCTTCTTAAGTGTTGGGGTATGGGCATGTGCTGTTCTGCATGCGTGGTGACAGCACTCTACCAACTTGAGTGACATTCTTAGCCTCTCCAGTGCCTTTAGATTTCTGATTCTTCTAAACTTACATGAGAACAAAATTCACTCCCATATTTTACAAGGACATCTCAGGCCTGATTGGTCTGAAGTTCCAGGTCCCCACGCTCCCAGGCACAGGGTGAGGCAGCATCTTGCCCTCCTGGTTCTAGAACCTCCCAAGAAGACTGAAGCTGCTCCTGAGGCAGCTGCTGCCATAGTTATGGTCAGCATCTGTAGCATGTGGCCTCCCTCAGACTGGTGGGAAATGTTTAGGCTAAGGGGAGAAATGTTGTAGCATCCTAACATACATTCTACAAAGGTCTCTGAGAGGCACAATCAAGTACCAAATCCACCATTTCAGTTGGCATTCCAAAGAGACTCCATAAGAATGCATGGTCTAGTGATGTTGCAGATAACTAAATTTACATAAGTGCACTCTGTGATGTTCAGTCAATTATGAAGCTGCCTAAGGTGCTTCTCTGAAGGCATCCCCATGGCTAAGTGACCGGGCTGTCATAGGGACACTTCAACTCTGTAGTGGGTTTGTTTTCTGCCTTTTGCATTTTTCTCAATGGCCCAGTCAAATTCAAATGACAGGAAGTGTCTTAGTTACTTTTCTACCTCTGTGACAAAGTGTCATGACCAAGGTAACTTATAGAAGAAAGCATTTAATGGGAGCTTACAGCTTCAGAGGGTTGGTTCATGACCATTGTGACCCAGAGCATGGCAGTAGGTAGCAGGCATGGTGCTGGAGCAGTAGGTAAGAGCTCACATCTGGTCTACAAACACAAGGCACAGAGATTGACAGTGGGAATGGGGTGGACTTTTCAGATGTCAAAGCCCACCCCCAGCGACACACCTCCAAAATCCTTCTCACACCTAAGGACCAAGTATTTGATATGTGAGTTGCAGGGCCCGTTCTCACTGAAAGCACCACAGGAAGTGATGGGTTGATAACTCAGCAGTGTAACACTTGAAAAGCCTTCCTAGACACAACAAAGGAAGGCTGATTCCAAAGTGTGCTTGTTTCTCTGAATTTTCTTCATTATCCCCATTAAAACTTATTTTCAAAGGTTTGAATGACCCTGCTTAGTTTTATTTATGCCTTCTTCTTTTGAGACAAGATTTCTCTTTGTATCCCAGATTGACTTCAGACTTGCAATCCTCCTGCCTCATCTTCACAAAAGCTGGGAGTGCTACCACACACAGTGCAGTTGTATTCGTTTTTGAAGACGGTTTTCATGTAGCCCAGGCTGGCCTCAAACTCCCTATGTGGTAAAGAATGATCTTAAGTTCCTGATCCTCCTGCCTCCACCTCTCAAGCACTGGGATTACAGGCATGTACCACCCTGTCCAGTTTATATGGTGCTGGAAATTGAACTCTAGGCTTAGTTCATGTATGCTAGGCAAGTGCTCTGCAGACTGAGGACACCCAGAACTAAGTGGGGGTTTTCCGCAAAGTGCAGCAACTATCTTGTTTATGACATTCCACTAAATTGTGCAGGTCTGTCACTTTTTTCATCCTTTACTGAACCATTATATTTTTAATAAGTGCATTAATCTTTATTACTAGATTTTAGGCCTAAAAACTCATTATTGATGTTTGTGTGTAACAGGACAGCTTGAGTTGGATGAAGTTAAGACACATCCACACTATTGTATAGAGGTGAGGGACATCTTCCAGAGCTGGAAGCTGAATACACGCTCCTTGATTCTTGGGGAACATTCTGGAACACATAAACAGGTATTTAACTATGTCTCCTAATCTCATCTTTCGAATGGTGAAGGTCTTGAATCCCGCCCACTGATGGGGCATCACCATGGAGAGAAGGGGTTTAAGCTGGTCCCCCAACCCTGAGTACAGTAAGCAAAGAAGGAGGTCCAACAGAATGGACTGTACAAAGGTGCAGTGGGAGTCATAGCCCTTGATCCACCCCTAGTTCCATTCCAAACCATGGTGTTGGGTGTGTCCTGGGAAGTAGAGGTCTGTGTAGTAAAAAATGAACCTCTGTTTCCCTAGAAGTCCTCACCATCTTGCTGTGTGACTCCCCAGAGTTTTGGGTGTGAGAGTGGAAGCCACCTCCCCACTGACTAGAGAGAGGCAAAGTGACAGAAACCAGGAGATGCTGGGAAGAGCAGTCATTCCAGGTGCCTTACAGTGACAAGAGTCAGCACCCACACAGCTGCCCACGGCTCTCAGAAACAGCAGCGAACCCACTGCAGAGCCACAGGGCTGGTAACTGCAGCCCACCCCATCGGCCCATCAACCTTGCTGTGGGTCTGAAGACACGTGGCAAGTGCCCGGTTCTTGATACTGAGTAAAAGGACAAAGCGTTGGTCCACAAGGCTCTGAGCTACTTGGGGAGTGAGCCACGTAGGGACTACGTGCAAAGCATATCCTGGGACGATGGCAGTGGCACTTTTGGAGGAGTGGTGCAAGATCATGAGTGTGAATGACCAGAAGTCGTTGATGGTGACTGGCATACCAGCGGACTGTGGTGAGCCTGAGATCCAGGCGGTCCTTCAGGAGGCGCTGAAGTGTGTGGGCAACTACCGCCTGCTAGGCAAGATATTCCAGAAGCAAGACAACACGAATGCTGTCTTACTAGAACTCATGGAGGACACAGATATGTCTGTGGTCCCCAGTGAAGTGCAGGGAAAAGGGGGTGTCTGGAAAGTGATCTTTAAGACCCCTAACCAAGACACTGAATTTCTTCAGAGACTGAACCTCTTTCTAGAAAAAGAAGGGCAGACGGTTGCAGGGATGTTCCGAGCCCTGAAGCAGGAGGGAGTATCTCCAGGTACCACAACCTGCACATCCCCCGAGTTACTGGCCCACTTGGTGGGGCAGGCAATGATTCATGCCCCAAAGCCTCTGCTGCCTGTGAGGTATTGTAAGTTGCGAGTGTTCTCTGGGAGCACAGTGCCTGTCCCAGAGGAGGAATCCTTTGAGATCTGGTTGGAACAGGCCACTGAGATAGCCAAAGAGTGGCCCATCCCTGAGGCAGAAAAGAAAAAGTGGATGACGGAGAGCCTCCGCGGCCCCGCCCTGGACCTCATGCACATCGTACAGGCAGACAACCCATCCATCAGCGTGGAAGAGTGTCTGGAAGCCTTTAAGCAGGTGTTTGGGAGCCTGGAGAGCCGTAGGAGCTCACAGGTAAGATACCTAAAGACCTATCAGCAAGAAGGGGAGAAAATCTCAGCCTACGTGCTCCGGCTGGAAACTCTGCTCCGAAGAGCTGTGGAAAAACGGGCTATTCCCCGGAACATTGCTGACCAGGTGCGCCTGGAGCAGGTCATGGCCGGGGCCAACCTTAGCAATGTTCTATGGTGCCGGCTACGGGAGCTGAAGGATCAGGGTCCACTACCCACCTTTTTGGAGCTGATGAAGGTGATACGGGAGGAAGAAGAAGAAGAGGCCTACTTTGAACATGAGAGCAGGGAGGAGCCAGGGGAACGAGAGGGCTATGGTCGCTGGGACAATTCGAGGAACAACTGAGAGACACCCACACTCCTGTCACCCCCTTGTGAGCATAGGGACAGTGCTTGATGAGGCTAGTCCTATTACAGTGAATTTTTTTTTTCTAATATACAAGATTGAAGTCAAGCATTAGAACCAAACGTTTTCTTTTTTCTTTTGTCTTAACAGGGTCTAAACGTATGGCCCAGGCTGGCCTTGAGCTTGCATTCTCCCTGCCTCAGGCCTCCCAAGTTGAGTTCTGGGATTAGAGGAGTGTACCACCTCTAGCGTCCCATCTCAATTTTTCTTTCTGAGAAGAAAATGCCTGGGCTCTGAGTAGATTGGTTTGGTGGACTCTTAAGTAGAGTGTTAGTAAAATACAAGACTAAGTTCCTAAACTCCTCTACTTTAGTTTCCTTTAAGCACACCAGGGTCAGCCAAACAGCTCAGTTGGTAAGGTTGCTTGCCAGCCTCTTCAGAGGAGGTAATAATGTGAATAGGAAATAGAAATTGGCCAGGCAGGATCTGGAGAGATGGCCCAGTGGTTAAATGCTATTCTTACAGAGGAATTTAGAACCCAGCACCTACATGGTGGTCCACGGTCATCCATAACTCCAGTTCCAGGGGATCCAACAGCTTCTGGTCTCTTTGGGCACTGCACACATGTGGTACACATGTGTACAAATCTTTAGAAGGAAAGAAAAGGAACTGGTGAGGCAGTTTGGGGCGTTCAAGAGTGTCCCTGGTCCTCTGTCCCATAAATGTCACAAAGGAGCTCTCAGTTCTCACTGCCACCTTCATGGAGTCACACTTGAGGGTGGGACTGGGACCTCACTCAGCCTCACTAATCCCTTTGTAAATAGCTTTTTAGAAGCAGATCTCTAGATTTTCATGATGAAAATGGCTTATATCTGTTCCCAACTTTAGCCCATCTCCTATAGGATTTTAGGGTTACCTCTTCAGAGGAGGAAATTTTATAGTGGCCTTGATCGGGGCTTTTCTGAGTCTCATTAAGAAAAAAAATCATTGGAATCTACCTCTTGCTTAGGTGGAACCCTAATGTTCCAAATTAACCAAAACGTAAGAGTTAATCCAATTGGGCCGGTCCACCACCTGGCTAAAGGACTGCCTATCAGGAAGGCAGATTCATTTAACTCTATGCTAAAGAGATGGGAGGAATAATTATTCCCTTAATGAGATCATGTACTTTTCCTTTCCAGAATCCCTGATATCAGTATAGTCACTACAGAGCCACCACAAAATAGAATTTTCAGTTTTCTTTTCTTTTGCCTGGGGCTCAAGCCTAAGTAAGCTTTTCCTAGTACTTTGGGCTTTTTCTGCTCTTTCTATATGGATGTTTGCTAAACCTCTACCTAACTCAAAGGAAGTGGGGGGACATGACTCTTCTTCTCCTCCATGTCCCTCTTCAGGAAGGTTTGATTCCCCAGAACCCTCATGGTGGAAGGAGAGAACCAACTCCTACAAGCTGTCATCACACACACACACACACACACATTCTAAGCCACACCAAGTAGATTAATGCTGACTCATACCATAAAAGAAAGAATTGACCATATTTAAAAAAACAAAAACAAAACAGCTTTTGTAATAAGCTTGGAAGATGAGGCAGAATGGCTTGTCGGGACATTTCCTGTCTCAAATCAGCAAATCATGTCAGACTCTGGAACCTCCCTCCAGCTGTCATCTATAGCTGAGCAGCCACAGGCCTTGCAGTAGGATCTGGGGAGATGGGAGGCAGGCCCTTCCCCCACCGGATGAATTAGACCACCATGCCTTTAGGTTTCTAATGTCATCTGCAGAGTGTCCTCCTCCTACACACACACATATACACACACACACACCTTTCTTCTACTTCATGTAGATAGTTCCAGACCCACAGGTATTTCACAGAGTCTGTTACCAAGAGGTACACAGCTATAGAAAGATGTCTTTGAGAAAGAGATGGGCGTTCAAAGATGTGCACAGAGTGGGTGTGGCTACCACTGCGGTCTGTTTAACTGTGAAGACTTTAACTGGCAGCAGTGGACAGAGCAGAGAGAAGGACCTCACAACCTACTGAGGGCTGCAGCGTGCAATGTGTTTCATATCAATCACACTTCATGTGTTCAGCAATCTACTCTTTACAGGGTGGTGCATGTATGCACGTGTGTTCATACATGCATTTGTGAGGTGAGGATGGTGGTGTGTGTTACCCTTTATAAAGAGAAAGAAGTGAAGCTCAAATGAGTTAAATGGTCTCAACACCAAAATGCTCAGAAGTGACACCTGGACTGAAGCCCAGAATGGACTTTGGGACCCCCCCTCCACTAGCTATGTGTCAGTCAAATGTGTCTTCTTAGTTCTGTAGAGGGTTGGTTTTAAGCAGATGTGTTTTAAACTCCTTAAATCTCAAACACACAGCAGGTAGTTTCAAGTGTGCTGATGCCCAAGGCTCAGCATATCAGTGTTCTCCAAGTTTGTTTTTGTTTCCAGGCTTACCCATTTGTGACAAAACAAAGCTCCCTGCTGGCATTGGTGTACATATTTCAAGCTCTCTGTAATTGTACATAGACTTGAAAGTTGTAGTGTCTTGTGCATCTGCCAGGTAGAGTGCACTGGGACATCATAAACAAACACCACTTAGTTTCATGCTAGGCCAAGCCCAGGCACAGTTCACGTGTGTTATAAGCAAGTTGTTTAGTTTTTCTCAACATCAGTTTCCTTATCTAAAAATGGGCTGCCACCAGGGTCATGTGACACAATGCCATTTAAGCACTTGAAGTGGAACTTAGAAACCCCTCGATACACCAAGAATCTTGGGGAGGGGTTGTTTGTTTTTTGAGACAGTTGTTGTCAGCTCAATGCATGTTCTCCTGATTGTTGTAGTTGTGTGTAATAGACTTCCAGGCACAATGCTCTCACCATTGGGAAGCATTTTAGCTCTTTTGCATTGGTTGTCTTCCACATCTGTAACAAGTATTCCAGAAGTGGCTGGTGACTGTTAGTTGACTTGATTTTCAAATGATAACCTGCTCTTCTGGGTTGTGCTTAGTTTAACTGAAGAATAAGAATTGTAAGAGAAGTATTTTTAAGAGTCATCATCTGTGATGATTTATCTTTCTGAAATACAGTTCTCAACACCATCCAACCACAGTTTTGTGATTGTCATTGTTGACCATTATATCCTGGCTTCACGTGGCTTTGTGTTCCTAGGAACAGCCTCACCATTGTCACTTATCAACCGACTGCAAATTTAAATGTTACCACTGTGAAGTTACAAAATAAATCTCAGTGAAGTCATGAGTTATTTTCTGCTTCCTATATGTCTGCTTCCTATATGTCTGCTTCCTATATGTCTGAGTGATGGTTTGGAGCTTCATTGCTAAAAACAAAACAAAATCAAATGAAAGGTACTGGAGAGATGACTCAGTGGTTAAGAGCCCTTGCTGATCTTCCAGATGACCTGAGTTCAGCTTCCAGTACCCACATCTGGTGGCTCATAGGTACCTGTAACTCCAGCACCAGGAGATCTAACATCCTCTTCTGGCCTCTGAGGGTAGCAACCCACACATAGTATTCATACACACATAAAAGTAGTAAAACTATAAGTACTTAAACAACAGAAAGTCAAAGTAGAGCAAAAGGCCTTGAACTTTACTAGGCAAGAAAACCTTCAAGCAGAGGACTAGAGTAACTACTTGGGTGGAGTCTCTAAGGATAAGACAGTGCTTGGCCCACCCATCATTGGTTTCCCTATTAAATGCACAGGACCAGATGCAGATCACAAACTCACTTGCTCAGGAAAGTAAAAGCCAGATGGGTTCTCCAGCCTGTGTTGTGCCAAGGGTGAGAGGACCTAGAAGAGGTGGACTCTGCTTTTAGGGTTGAAAAGTCAGCTCTCCTGTGTACATCTAGACCGAGGAATTGACTCTTGCCTTTGGAGGCCTTGAACTTACTTCACCTCTCTGGAGTGCACTGGGAGAGCATTCCATATTGTGCTAGGAACACTGTGACCAGTCTACTAGGTATGAGTGCCTGAGGGATGCCCTGCTCCACATCCCCGTTATGTGAGCAAAATCCTCCCAGGAAGGGCTCTTGCCTCGTGTCCTATCTCCACTCCCAACCCTTAATTATGGGGAAAAAAATCAAAGATTCCTGAACCATGGCTGAAGATCATTTTCCTTTTTAGTAGGTTCTTCTGGTGCAAACTGCAGGCCAGACCATCAGCTTCCTGCATGTTTCAGGACATGGATGTCACTGATGTCCGCAACTACATCAGCCACTCAGGCTTGTACCATCCTGCGGGCTTCTGCTTCCCAGACTAAATGCAAAGTTGTCATCGATTTTATCAAATATTTGTGATGTTCAGCAGATCTTCTGGACATCTTGTGGTTTGCTAGACAAATGATCAAGGCCAGCAGACTCTTGTGTTGTTCAATAAATTTCCTTTACACATTGTGAAGATGTGTCACCGAATGGTTTAATAAAAAGCTAAACAGCCAAGAGCTAGGCAGGAGGTATAGGCAAAACCTCTGGACAGAAAGAGCTCTGAGAAGAAGAAATGGGAGATGCAAGATGGAGGAAAGGTAAAAAGCCAGGAGGCAAAACATGGAGATTAATATAAATGGGTTAATTGAAGCTGTAAGAGCTAGTGGGACAAGCCTAATCTATAGGCTGAGCTTTCATACTTAATAAATGAGTCTCCATGTTTCCGGTTTGTTTGTTTGTTTTTAGCACCCTAAAAAAATCCAGTTCCAGTCTTGATCGAACGCCTTATCCTTAACTGAACCCTAGTCTTGTTCCCAGGGTTCTGCAGCCCTTGCAATCCCTCAGTAAAAAGCTTCGGTGTCCCCTTCACCCTCAAGAAAGACTGGGAGGTGGCAGTGGCATTCCTGCAGGCTCTGCATCACCTAGGCAACATTCAAGAAGACATTCATTTCTTGCTAGTGTGTGATCATCCCTCAGCCCCACCACCCACTGTCCAGTTAGCCCTATTCTCTATGGGTGTTGTTCAAAGCAGAAAAAAATAACAAAAAGAAAAGAATAATGACTGTAGTCTGTGTCCAAGACAGTCATGTGAGCCTGGGCAAGGCAGGGGGTCAGAAATTACTGCAGAGAAGGGACAGAGCCTGAAACAGAGTGAAGAAAGGGGATCCAAT